TCTTTGCTAAGCTCGTCGGATTGTCGTGGGTTTTCCTCATCTTCCCTATATACACACTGCACTACGCAAAAGAAAAGTTTTAAGTGCACTAACTGTAATCTACAGTTCAAAACAACAAAGGATATATTCGGATTCTGGTATACGCGGACGGACCAGTAAGCTAATCAAGAGAACACCAGGAGTAGGGGTTTATTATTATATTATAATTCTAATTCACATTGCGGCAGCATCAAGATCGATCCACGAAAACTAATTCAAATTACTCCAACATATTGGAAAAAGGTTCAATCAATCAAAACAAAGAATCGCATAAATTCATTCATATTGGCCAAATGCCCAAAACAATAACAAAGCGTTATCAAATCGCATCATCTTATCGTCTACAAAATCTTATTCGCTCCTAAAATTCTTATTGTTGCTTACGATGTATTTAACTCCTAAAATTTACTTTAATCGAATCGTAAAAATATTTAAATGTCATTCGACTGATTATATGGCGTGTCGTTATTTAAATGCACACACAAAAAATAAAATATATTCATAAAGTCAGAAATCAATATGTTTTTTATGAGGAGAGATCTCACTTACTCACAATTCCGTTTGAAGCAGGTTCGGTGGGCCCATCGAAGACGCTGTGCTAGATTTAATCAAGAAATGTTGTTAACTTCTGACAAATATTATTTTTGTGTTGCTCAAACGACCCTAAATTTACATTACTTGAATACAAAAAGTATATTGTATACGCAATTATCAAGAATTAAAATCCAAAAATTCAGCACATTGGCTCTAAATCCCTAAACAAAGAAAATGATCTGCAGCACACGTCAACGTTGATTGGCTGCAGCTCTGCACATGGCGATGCCTCCTTGCGGCATTCTCCTCCAGTTCTCCTGATCAATTTACCGCATACGAAGGGTTTGGCGTCTTCGCATGCCAGACGAAAGGTATGTTCTCCTTATTTCATCCCGCTCTTGGATATGGTGCCGCATGTGGCACGTGCGCGTAAAGTGTAGGCTAGCGTCGCCTCACATTCGTCTCCTTCTCCTAATTACGGCAGCAAAATCAACGGTCAACCGATCGTCGTTGCTTCTGCAGGAGCTTGTAGCTCCTCCTCCTCCTCCTCGCGTTCCTTAGGGTAGCCTAACCCGCATGGGTACTCCGACACCACGCCTGGGATGGATTGGCTGATTGGGAACGGCAGGTCGGATTAAGGTTAAATCCGAACCTCCATGTGGCACACGGTTGTCGCGGCCGAAGTGTCTCTCAAAATTTGAGGTTAAGTCCGATTGGTGTTGGGCGTGCTCACGCGCAGGTCGATTCCAACCTCAAAACGTGGCAATCAACACGCGGCACGTCCAAAAGAATACGGTGGTTGTCGCACTGATCTTGGCCAGCAGCCTCCAAAACGGTCCACCAGCCGGTGACCAACACCCGAGAACTGGCGTAATGCTGCCGCTCTGGCGCTGAAGTTGCCGGCCGACGTATCTTCCGTCTCTTTGCCTTTTCATTTGCACTTTTCACGGAAATATTTACCCCTTGTGCTGGTTTCGTTTCTACGAAACTCCTTCTGCACTGGTGAACTCCTTTTCCTTGGCCAGAAAACACTTTAAAATTTTCGGCCACGCGGTTGAAAATTTTCCACTATTATTACTACGATCAGCAGCGGTTTGCATGCGAACGTTATCAGTGCCAAAAATGAAATGAGCGAGAACTCTGACTCGAGAAGTTAGCTGTACGCAATTGCAGCGTTGCCAAACTTCACCTAACGGAGTGCTTCCAGTCGCTCTTCGCCTTTTCCGTCTTCACACGCATTCGGTGCACACGAGAAAGGGTTAGCGCTATGCAGGTAGGCTGTATGCGAGAGCAGGCCAGATAAGCTTCTATCGATGCTCTCCGCTATACTCTACGTTTTGCTTGTGAGCATATGCGAATTCAAAGGTGATTTGCATTTTCGCAATGTTTACAAATTAATTTCCTTATTTCTCATATATTTTATTTTCGGTTTGCGACTGGCCACCACAAAGTCGACGCTCCAATATTTGGCAATTTTTTCCGCCTCTCGTTATCTCCGCTATTTTGCACTTGCATATGGCAAGTGCACAAATAGACACACACACGTATTGGTTCCAAAACACAGCACCGGTCAATCACATAAGTCCAGATAAATAGAATAATTTGTAAATTATTTTATATTAAAATTCCAACTAACGAATTAAGTTAGAAATCCAAGTGCGCTTCCGTATCAGCATTAGTGTGACCGTATATTATTCGCTGCTGACCGGAATTATTAAATTAAATTGCATATTTCCGTTTTAAATTCCAAAGGAGAAAATAGAATTTTCCACAAAAGTAATTATTATAGCAAAAATAATTATTACGAGTCTGATTGGTTCCTAAATTCCCAATCAAACTTCGACCCACAAATTTTAATATATATTTACATTATATTTTTGTAAAAAAAAAAAATATCCAAAATGACTTCAACTATTTTGAACAAATTTACTTTGATTTCTGACGGTCTGAGGCACTTCGACTCTAGAGTCTGCAATCCAGCAGCACCCACTCCATCCAAATACACCTGCCAAATTCATCTCGACCAAGTCCGAGCGCTATGGGATAAGGTCGAGACAGAGTACGAAGCTTGTTCAGAGCTAATTTCAGTTGGCTTCGAGGGCGCTGCAGACACCTTGCCTACCCTTAAGGCAAAATACGACGACACCTATTTCATTTATGAACGGTGTGCCGCCAAGTTCATGGAACAGATCGATACGATATCTGCTAAAGCAGCTCAAGTCCAATGCCCTACGCCCCAAAATTCCTTTCCGTCTGGCTGTCGGCTTCCTCCGTGCGAAACGGAAGTTTTCTCAGGCGATTATCTTCGCTGGCCGACTTTCCGAGACCTTTTCACAGCGGTCTATATCGACAATCCTACGCTGACCCCTGTAGAAAAGCTGTTTTATTTAAATGCCAAGACGAGTGGTGAAGCTCATTCCATAGTTTCAAATTCGCCACTGACCAACGACGGTTTCCACTCAGCATGGAACAACCTATCTGAGCGTTTCGAAAATAAACGCGCGTTGGTAAACAGCCAACTGAAGAAATTGTTGAACATTCAGTCCATTGAACGTGAGTCCTCGGCAGCCTTGAAGGAGCTGCAGAATACAATTCAAAATTGCCTCACATCCCTAGCTCTGTCCGGCCTTCCTACGGATAATTGGGATTGTCTATTGGTTTATTTGTGCTCCACAAAGCTTCCAAAGCTGACGCTTTCCTTATGGGAGCAATCCTTAACAAATAAAACCGAAATTCCGACGTGGCTAGAACTTGATTCTTTTCTTACTGAGCGCCATAGAACTCTGGAAGCTATAAATTCTATCCAACCTGCTACGATACGCCTCAGTCCGTCCAAACCGACAAAATCCATAGTGGCACCGCGATTTTTCCCATATCCAAAAGATGCGATTTGTGTTCTGCAGAGAACCATCCAGTATGTAAATGTCCACGCTTCCTCCAGATGACGATAGAAAATCGAACTTCGTACATTGAGAAAAAGCAGTTGTGCTTAAATTGCTTTGCAAGCGGTCATCCACTCCGTAATTGCACAAGCGCCCACAGCTGTCACGGTCGGCATCACACATTGTTGCATCCAAGCAACACTTCATCCAGTGTTCCGAATCCTCGTGATGACGCACCACAAATTCCTGCACCCATCCAAAGAATTTCCTCGTTCTCCACACGAGTGACCACTTCTGCCGATTCCAATTACTGGGTTCTGTACGACGACAGCAAGAGCAGACGTTCCCGAGGTATTTTATCCTACCAATGCCGAGTCTGTCAAGGGAACCATCCTCTTCGGAAGTGCCACCGTTTTCTCCGGCTTGATGCGAAGAAACGGCTCCAGACAGTCATCGACAGGAAGTACTGCGTCAACTGCCTGGCCCACCACCATTCCGGAGGATCCTGTCGAAGTAGCGACCGATGCCAGTCGTGTGAACAGGATCACCACACCCTTCTACATGCCGACGAACGCTCAGCGTTATCCTACGCTTTCCAGAGCTAATACTTCCTGGTACTTTTGCTGCGTATCCTCGCAAGGGGGGGGAGAATGTCAGAATGTCGCGCAACAAACCGAAAGTCCTACGTGTTATTATTTATCGAGTGCATTTCAGAGTTAGAGCCGCCCCCCTCCAACAGCCGCCAACAACTATTTTGGGCATGCTTGTAGATTTGGCGCCACATTTTAAATTCCATATTTCCTCGCCAACTTTGTTTACATTTTCGTAGTGTTGGTAAAGTTTTCACTGTTAAGAAAAAGAATCTATCCACGGTTTGATTAGACTTAGATGAGTTTTATGGTGAATGCGCTTTGACGGTGTGTGGGAAGACCCTATAAGAAGAAGAAATCAGATTTGCACCGAAAAACTATCGCCTAACTATCGCCAAATTAACGGTCGTTAGATTTAGATGCGCTTTGATGCCGGTCCATTTGAGAAAATTAGGAACGGCAAAACCTTATGGACCGCTTTTTCAACGGAAGGTGGATGCGCTTTGACGGTGTGTGGGAAGACCCTATAACTAAAGAAATAATATAAAAAAAAAAATATATCGCAATTTCGATATTTGGGCAAAAAAATTCACGATATAAATATATCATTTTTAGAAAAAAATAAAAATATATATTTTTATCAACAACCCTAGTCTCAATTAATTAACACCTACGTGTTAGATTAGATTAGTTTGAAAATCGTAAGAAAGCAAGAAGAAATATTTTCGACCAGCCCAGCTAAATAAATATAAACTTACATTGATTCAAAATATTTTATTAGTATTCGCATAGTAGGTGTTATACAAATTATTGCTGAATTATTAATAGCATATTAATTTAATCAGTCTTCCTAAAAATATTTTGTATATTGTAATTTAAATTAATAATAATGTATACACAGTTTACCAAACACATGACCGTTCACTATAAAAATACATATATATGTTAAAACGAGTTAAGGTATTTTTGGTCTTGGTGTTAAGACTAGTTCAAAACATTTTGTCGGTAAAGCCACACTTGCTTTATTTATTTGAATTTTCGATAAATCTTCACTGTTAACATTATAATTTTTAATAATGTTTGCCAGCAAAATAAAACCAAATCCTTTAACCAAATTTTGCCCAATACACGTGCGTTTACCTATACTAAAAGGTAAAAAATTAGGAACATTTTTTTTTAACTGATATACATATCTTTCAGAGGAATTATTATTAATATATTGTGAGTTCTGAATTATATCGATAAAGTTATTACATTTGGTGTGTTCTTTTTCTCTGTCAAACTCAATACCTGGGTCTGAAATTCGGAATACGTCGGAGATTCGTCCGTTTTCGTTTAAGTTTTTAGTTTTACCCAAGGCACGTTTATAAATTTTTTCTAAAAAACGTTCAGGATGAAATTGTTCAGGGTGTTTCCAGTTGTTTTTGCTTTTATTTAGAATATAGTTATTTATAAAAATAATAGTACCTTTAGTAACGCCATATCCTGCAATTACCGTGTCTTCCATAGCAACATGAGGAACAATAGGAGACGATGAATATCGTAATACCTCTAAAATAGTTGCCATTGTATAAGGCATTGAATTCATATCATGCAGACAAATATTTCTCGATTCGTTATTTGAAATTCTATCTATTTCTAGTTTAATTTCATTGCCAATTTTTGGGTGTTTAGCTATATAGGCGAGTGCTAACATAACCAAATTCCCGACAGCTGAATGACCCCCAATAAAATCTTCTAGCATAAAAATAATTGTATTGCGAGTTACGTGGTTGTCTTCTTTTATACTTTTTAGTAAAGCATCAGTGAAATCTTGGTCTGGCTCTTCAATATTAATATTTATTTCTCGTTGATTAATAATTCTTTCTAAAATAAATGTTCTTATTGTAGTAGACCAGTGCTCAATATTCCTTATATGACTTTTATAAAATGGCAAAAGCCACGGTACAAAATCTAAAGAATACCCTTGGTTAATTTCCCAAAAAATATCATCAAAATAACCTGTAATTTTCTGGAAGTCCTTATCATCGTAATCAAATCGAACTGAACACATGTATTTACAAAACATATTGGCACTTGCTCTAAGAATTAACGGTTTTATATTGCAGGGTTTTCCCAATATAACTTTGTTTAGATGGTTCATTAAATAGTTGACTTCAATACATCCAATGACAGACATTTTTGAAAAGTACGAGGATGCTTCTCGGGGGGAACAGTGACGTCGGGCTAAATTTCTTCGCTTTTGTTGTAATTGTGACCAGTCACAGAGCGCGAGTGCTAGAAAATAGAACAATTTTTAGATACATATAAGTAAGAAAATAAAAAAATATATTTGTAATAACAGATTTTGTTTTGACGACGGAAATCAACAAGGACGGGAAAGTCAAAGTCTAGAAATAAAGAAAATCCGCTGTAACATGTGTTATATCGGCCATACTCAATATAAAAAAACCGTGTGAAAAAAGGAAGAAGAAGAACTTTTTGCCTCGTCGATTTTGCGGGTACTCTGACGACGAAAATTATACCTGCGAAATTTGAATGGCGTTGCCAGATTAAGAGAGTAAATAGCTGATAACGTGATATAACATTATTTCAATTTATTTATTTACTTATTCCCAGAGACATTCGACCTTCATCGAGTGCAGACGAGTCTACGGACGACCGCTACGCGGGGTTTATTCTAGTAGTGTTTTTTTATGGTGAAAAAGTAAATTCGGAAGTAAACTACGTACTGATAGTTAGGCCAAGCCCTACAGTACGTAGGACATTCGGACACTAGTGCGTGAGACGTGTTTTTGAGCTGAAAAGTTTATTTATATGGTGCTACGCGTAACAAGCTCAAAATAATGAGCGGCGATCAAAAGAATGAGCGTAGAAGCTCTGTAAACCAAAGTAACGGTTGTTTCACTTACTGCTCAACTTGCGATATCGAAGCAGAAAAATCGTCTACCAAGCCCAACCCGGCTTTACTGACAGCCAAGAGAGCGCGCTCTCGCTCATCCGCCCTACTCACTCCAGCTCCTACATCTTGGAGCTACCAATGCCAAAACCCACCATCACCGGCGTCGATGGAAGACGCACCAACAACAAGCAGTGCTGCAATTTCTGCAAACGCAGCAAAAGCAACAACAACTATGCCAACGACCAATATTGCGAAATTGGTGCCAACGGCCCGCAGCGCCAAATCCAATGGTAACAAAAACCGTGAGCTCCGATAAGCAACAAGCGGTTCCGGCCATACAGACTGGCATGGATCGCTACATCCAAATTAAGCTTAAGCTCAGCCCACATAACACGGTTGGTAACAAACCTAAGATCATCCATGTCACCAAAAGCTACGACCCAACCAACAGATTTTCCCCGCTAGCAGCTGATGAGAATAACCAAGCAGAGCCGAAGCAGGAGACTCAAAAGCAGCCAAAGCCCCCACCTATTTATATTAGGGAGAAAAGTTCAAACGCCCTGGTCAACAAAATTGTTGCGTTGGTCGGGGACGAAAACTTTTATGATGTTCCGTTAATTAAAGGGAACATTTGCGAAACCAAAGTGCAAACCAAATCAAAAGAACACTTCCGGGCTGTGTCTAAATACCTGGAAGAATCAAAAAAGAACTTTTACACCTACCAACTAAATAGCAGCAAGGGACTGCAAGTAGTGCTAAAAGCAATTGAACCAGACGTCGCCCACTCTGAGATACTAGAAGCCTTGAAAGGCAAGGGTGTCTTTGCCAAGAATGTTAGAAACATTATCAACAAAAATAAAAAGCTGCAACCACTTTTCAAAGTCGAACTTGAGCCAGATAGCAAAACCCTAAAGAAGAATGAAGTTCACCCGATCTACAAGCCGCAGTTCCTACTGCACCGAAGAATCACAGTGGAAGAACCGCACAAACGCAACGGTCCTGTGCAATGCACAAATTGCCAGGAGTATGGACATAAAAGGAATTACTGCACCCTTCGGTCAGTCTGCGTAGTCTGTGGAGACTTCCACAATTCCGCACACTGCCCTGCGAACAAAGAAGACCCCAATACGAAAAAATGTGGAAACTGTGGAGGAAACCATACAGCTAACTACAGAGGCTGCATGGTCTACAAGGAGCTGAAGAGTCACATGCGACGAGCGACAGCTACACGCCAACAAAATACACAAAATGTGTATTATAATTCAAAAAGTAATCCAGATGTATTTTTTGCCAAAGCAGCCAGATCTTCTTTTGGTCCGCTAAATGCCCCCACGGGAATCTTCTACGCCGAAGCTCTACGAACTGGTATGCAAAATCCACTCCCCTCTAACTCAGTAAACGCTCAGCAGGCCCCAGGGCAGCCACAAAACAACCTGGAATCCATGATGGTGACCATGCAACAAAGTATCATGGAACTCATGTCATTTATGAAAACGACCATGCAAACGCTTGTCCAAAATCAGAATATGGTGATACAGCTGCTTGTACCACAACAGTCGAAATAATCAAGGTCCAATCTACGTATATCCACGTGGAATGCCAGGCGTCTCACGGCATAAACATGAACTAACACAATTTCTTAATGAAAACCACATCGACGCCATGCTACTGGTTGAAACGCACCTCACGAGCAGATACAACTTTCACATAAGAGGTTATATTTTCCACCGCACAGATCATCCAGATGGTAAAGCCCACGGCGGAACGGGCATCCTTATCAGAGAACGCATCAAACACAATTTTCACCAAAGGTTTGCAACAAATTATTTGCAAGCTATGTACGTCCATAAAAGTGCAGTCAGGTTACGGCAACCTTTGCATTGCTGCTGTCTACTGCCCACCTCGCTTTACCATCTCTGAAGGCCAATTCATGGATTTTTACCACTCTCTTGGAGATCGCTTCATAGCTGCAGGCGATTACAAGGCCAAGCATACGCATTGGGGATCCCGCCTCGTGACCCCCAAGGGAAGACAACTGTATGTCATCAATGTGAGAAATAAACTGGACTACGTTTCCCCCGGTAGCCAAACATATTGGCCAGCAGACCCCAGAAAGATACCTGATCTAATTGACTTTGCAGTGACAACAAACATCCCACGCAATTTAATAATCGCCAAGGCCCTTCCGGATCTATCTTCAAATCACACGTCGCTGTTGATAACTCTCCTTCAAAGCCCAGAAAGTACGGATCGCCCCTACAGGCTGACGTCGCACAGAACCAAATGGATTAAATACAAAAAGTATGTGAGTTCCCACATTGAGCTAGCCCCCCAGCTCAATACTGAAGCCGACATCGACTCCTTCACTACCGCTCTGGAATAGGTACTTGTGACTGCAGCTAGGATCTCAACACCACAACAGACGGATGTGCGACGGCCGTGGCAAACCAATAGATCGCCATGCTCAAAGCAACATCTAAATGAAGCCACACGCAAACTAAGCGGGGCCCTGAAGCAAGATGCCGAAAATGCACAATTAAGATATATTGAGAAACTCTCGCCAACCAGCACAAAGAATCCCTTATGGAGAGCTCACCCAAACTTAAGCTCTCCGACTAAAATCGTCTCCCCGATAAGAAAGTCATCTGGTTGCTGGGCCCGCAGCGACAAAGACAGAGCCGAAACTTTTGCCTCACATCTCCAGGGGATTTTCCAGCCGAACCCTGCTGCACATCCATTTGAACTACCGCAAACCCAAACTGAAACGGAATCTACTCCAGAATCATTTCGTCCGAACGAGATCACGAAGGTCAGGTCAGGGAACTGAAGCCGAAAAAGGCTCCCGGCGATGAGCTAATAACTTAAAAAATTATAATTGAACTTCCGAATTGTGCTATTGAGGTCATCTGTAAAATCTTCAATGGGATCATAAGTCTCGGCCATTACCCAACTAAATGGAAAAAATCTATAATTATAATGATACCGAAGCCCGGAAAAGACCACACGATTCCATCATCTTACCGACCAATAAGTCTACTATCATGCTTGTCCAAGTTATTTGAAAAATGCCTATTAAAGCACATAATTCCTTATCTGGGAGCTCACAACATCATCTCAGCTCATCAATTTGGCTTCAGAGAAAAGCATGAAACTATCGAGCAAGTTAACAGAATTACATCAGAAATTCGCACAGCCTTCGAGCATTGAGAATATTGCAGCGCGATATTTCTCGATGTTTCTCATGCACAAAATTAAAACACTTTTGCCGGTATACACGCATAAATTACTTAAGTCGTATCTCTACAACAGAGTCTACGCAGTGAGGTGCAACGCAACAACATCCGGCACCAACCCAGCTCGCCAACCACCTCAGAGAAGTGGCTATCTCACTGGCGTATTAAAATAAATGAACAAAAGTGTAAGCACATAACGTTCACTCTCAACAGACAAACATGCCCTCCGCTCTACCTGAACAGCACGCAGATCCCCGAAGTCAACGTGGTAACGTACCTGGGCGTCCACCTGGACAGACGCCTAACATGGCGAAGACACATTGAATGCAAGAAAATTCATCTAAAACTAAAAGCCAGCAGCCTCCACTGGCTCATAAACTCCCGATCGCCCCTGTGTCTGGACTACAAGGTCCTGCTCTACAACTCCACACTAAAGCCAATATGGACGTATGGCTCCCAGCTTTGGGGAAACGCGTGCAGCACCAATCTAGACATCATACAGCGCGCCCAATCAAAAATCCTGCGAACTATCACCGGGGCACCTTGGTATATTCGCAACGAAAACATCCACAGGGATCTCGGCAATCCTGCAGTTAAGAACGAAATAGAAAAACAAAAATTGTCCTACAAACAAAAACTCTCTGCCCATCCAAATCCTCTAGCAAGGGACTTAATACAGGTTTGCCGAAGAAGTCGTCTACTACGTGACGACCTTTCAACCCAGCCATAATTAGTCAGGGCCATTTACTCTGTACCAGTCAACATGACTGCTAGTTAGGTAATATTGTAAGATTTGATGCACTTATTGTTAGTCTCATAAATGAGAAGATTCAATAAATAGAGCAAGGGCTAAAAAATAATTTTCTTACACCCCTAATGGAGGAAAAGTTAAAGGAAAAAACAATACAACTTTTTTCCTTTAAGGGCTGTCAAGGCGAAGCCCATAATATGGAATTTAACCCAAAGGCAATTTTAATGCCATACTTATTAACAAATTTGTTTACAAACAGCTGTCCAGTGTGACCAAAGAAAAGCCTTAAACGACATAAAAGGTACATTTCATGGCGTTTAATGGTAAGGGACTCAGACGAAAATGCCAGCTCCTTAAAGTATTGTAAAGTGACGCTTGCAGCTTAAGATAGCAAAAATAATTAACTCTTGTTTCCCTCTATATGGTAAGGAACAGAGTATAAATTTCAAAAAGCAAAAAAATACAAAATAATCTTTTATGTTTTAGATATAGCAAGCGCCTTATAGTATTTTTAGCTAAAGGTTTTCTTAACACAATTAAAGGCGTGCTTGAGGCCAAACATCAGCCACTGTACAAAAACTATATAGTGCTAAATTAAAAAGTGCTCACTAACTGTGACTCAAGTCAAACATAGATGACAATAGCATCAAATAAAATCCAATACATTTGATTAAATTTAAAAGAAGAAAAAGCCATCCTTAACTAAAAAATAAGTACCAAAAATATATATATTTTTATATATTTTTTTGTTAAAAATGTATATTTGATTTAAACTAGCTTTGTGATACCGCTGAGGCAACTTATCTAATTACATATTGAAAATAAAAAACAAAAAGATAAAGTACTACCTATACAATATCCTAGATACATATTTACATACATATTCTGGTGTATAATGTGCATTATGTTATGCGTATTATGTTGTTTTTTTTTTTTTTTCATATTCCTTTATTAACCACGCCGCAGTATTTGGTCCTCGTTGCAAAAGTCACGTTTGCGCATTTACTGCTGTTGACACCTATGTTCCATCCCTTGGTCCAGTTTTCTAAGGTGTCAATGTAACTCTGTAGAGCTGCTGTATGTATACAAGGGCTTCTTGTCAGCACTGCAGTGTCGGCAAACGTTGCAATGAGTGCGTCGTCTTCATCAATCCCTGCTATCGTGTTAGCGGTTGGCATATCTGCTGTGAATGGCGTGTAATGTATTGGGCCAAGCACGCTTCCTTGTGGGACGCCTGCGCACATTGGACGCCAAAAATAAAAAATCATTTATATAAAAAATCCTCGACGTCAACAACAAATACAAAAAGAAGTGTTGAAATTTGTGTCAATTTTCCTATTTATCAGCGTATGTAAACAGAGTGTATAAATAACAGAATGTAAGCGAGAGAACTTTTATGCATATGTTATTGTGAGTCGAGTCAAGAAAGCGAGCATGAACACATCGCCACGCAAAGTCGTGATCAATAAACTGCATTAATAATTTAAACTTGATACCGAAAACATCAGATAAGCTAAACATTTTTCTTTAAATTTATACTAGTGACGACGCGACTGGTCGTCACAGCTTTGTAAATTTTGTAGATAGAGTAGATCTTAGATAAAGCTTAGAATTAGGCGTAAAATTAAGCTAAACTCACACACACACCCACATAGGTACACAACATACCAGTTAACGTTGAGGTTGTGTTTCTGACCGCGCTCCGTCTGATAATCTTTTCTTCGGTCGGTGCCGGTGTGTATTTAGCCTGAAAAGTAGCCAAAAGTGTAGTGCGAGACTCCTTGTACCCTGGTACGTACCTGGTACTGCTCCTGGATCGGCCCCTGCAGTCTTCCCCGGTTGCCAAACCAACCTGGGCACTTGATCCACAGGAGGGACCCGAGGTAAGACGAGGGGGTGACTCTCGCCTCTCCTCCGCACAGGCGCCTTTCCGCTCTCACTTTTTACTTTCTTCCTCACACCTTCCACAAGTCGCTTTTGCCCGCGTTTTCTTTCCTAAACGTAAACACAGCTAATCGCTCTAGGAACCCAGTGTTGTTAAACGTCAGTGGAGGAGCTTCTTACAGCCGCGCTTAACAGCACAAGCATTTCCAATGTTGGAAAACGCGCGTTGCTAAGCTTTCCCGCCTTACTATCTTTAAATAAAAAACGTTGGCGCACATAAATTTGTTTACTTAATTTAATAAACAAAGCCTTTTTCCCTGAGGCCGTACACGGCTGCGCAGTCGGAGGCCTTCAGGAGGAGCAGTAAGGTCTCCCGATCGCCCATAGTGCGGGAACTCCTAGAAGATGGGCGGAGCCCTGGGTCAAGCTCTACGCCGCTCCCCAAGAGGACTCAGGATCCTGCGAGCCCGACCAGCTCGCATAGAACTACGCCGGCCAATAGAAGCGCGGCGTCAGAGGAGGCAGCCAGCCTGCAGGATCTCCAGGAGCTGGGGAAGCTGTTGCAGGAAGTCTCCACGAAGATGATGGATAAGACGACGCGCCACATTACCGTCTCCACGAGGGAGCTGTTTTCCAAAATGAAGGCGCTTCATGCGAGCATTCTTGCGGCGAGCAGAGCGGCAGCCGCGGGTGCCAAAGAAAGGCAGGAGAGCGAGGTCTGGACCAGTCTGTGCCCAAAATGCGCCCAGAGCACACGCAGCGCCGACAAGGAGCAGCAGACTACGACCGTCGGGAAGCAGGAGGCTACAGCCCAAAAAGAGCCCTGGCGTAGGCTTCGTCAGCCAAACTGGCCGGAACTACCCGCACCCGTGCGGTGCCCGCGGAGGCACACACCGCCATCCTCGAGAACCCCGCAAAGCCCACTGGTGAATGGAGGGTAGTCGCCAAGAAGCGGTAGGCAGCGCGCCATGGACGTCCCGATGCTGTCATCGTGCAAGCAAACGGCAAGTCTTACAGCGAGGTACTAGCCATGGTGACCAGGAGGGACGACAAGCAGTTGTGGGACCTGTGTCTTCAAGGTTCGGCGCACCAACAACGGCAACCTGCTCCTAGAGGTGGCCAAAGGGAGTGTTGAGAGCGCCGAGGACATGAAGGAGAGCATCGAGAGGGGAGCTCGGTGATTCCGCGACTGTGCGTGCGTCGACGGAGGACACGAAATTGCTGGTTATGGAGGTACGGAACATCGACTCTATCACCTCGAAGAAGGAGGTCTGCGCCGTTATTGCCGGCCAATTTTACCTCGAGGCAGAACGGGTGAGAGTCCGGAGCATGCGCCGTGGCCGCTCAGAGACGCAGCTTGCGGTGGTCAGCCTGCCCGTCCTACTGGGCAAGGCAGTCCTGCAGCGTGGAGAGGTGCGAATCGGATGGTCAACCTGGGGGATCCGTGAAAGATCCGGCCCACCGAGGTGTTTCAGGTGCCTGGAAACCGGGCACATTGCGATCCACTGCAAAAACCCGGTGGAGAGGGGTGCCTGCTGCATCAAATGCAGAGAGTCGGGACACAAGGCAGCAGTGTTGCCGTTTTAGCCTTTTTCCGGACAGATCTGTCCGGTTTTCAGCTGCCTCAGCCGGAAAAAATTTAAAACATCCCCTAGCCTATTATCTGTCCTTTTTTTATTTTGGCCTGGCCTTTTTTATTCGCTTTGGATTTTTGCGTAAAGTGCTGGAAAGTAAGTAATAAGGACTCGGCTGGCAATAACCCATTTATGGAATCGGCAACATTTGCTCTAGAACTGCTGTCGCTGCCCTGGTCAAATGCTGAAGTACCCAAGCTACATTGGTAAAAACCAGTGTTGCCTTTTTCCGGACAGATCTGTCCGGTTTTCAGCCGCCTCAGCGGGAATACATTTAACATCCCCTAGCCTTTTATCTGTCCTTTTTTATTTTGGACTGGCTTTTTTTATCCGCTTTTTATTTTTGTGTAAAGTGCGGAAGCAACCAATCTAATGAAAATTAATGTTTAGAATCTTGTAATGATGACATTGACGATGTTCTAAACGAGTTGGCAAACAATAAAGAGTAATATTACATAAAATGTATGGAAAAAATATTTTGTCTTGTTTTTGTCCTTTTTCTGAAATTTTTGGCCTTTTCTATCCTTTTTTTATAATCAATCTAGCCTTTTTTTGTAACGAGGCAAGGAGACGATGCACCAGGCAGGCGGCATTAGCTGCCCAGCCTCGAACAGAGGGAAAGGGAACCGTATGCCTGCATGCAGTCAATTCCAATTAATTTGAATCACTGCAGAGCGGCGCAGGACCTGCTACTGCAGACGGTGAGCGAGGTAGCGGCGGACGTCGCTATACTTAGCGAACCATATAAGGCGAGGGAGGGAGAAGCATGGGCGAAGGACCGCTCCGGCACGGCGGCCCTTTGACTCTGTGGTGACGGACAGCGGCGGATGTCCAACATCCTGTCAGCCGATGGATTTGTGCGGGCGGAAGTCAGTGGCTTTTGCATTTAGTGCATTTGCATGTAGTCGGAGGACACCTGGGCCCTCGAGTGGGGATCTGTCTCCACTAACGCCAGGGGACGCGCGGTGCTGGAGGCATTTGCCTCGACGGACGTGGTCCTCCTCAACGACGGGGTGAGGCACACGTTTGCTAGAGCAGGAGCCGCCTCAATAATAGACCTGACGTTTGTGAGCAGCACAATTTCCCACAACGCTAGCTGGAGAGTCAGCGACGCCTACACCGGGAGCGATTCTATGCTCAGTGGGTGCACCGGAGAGGAACACCAGCACGCTGCCGCGGCCCAGAAAAGCCTACCGGCCGGGCACGCTGTGCACTCAGGCATTCGCTAACGCGCTGGACGACATGTCGGCCGATGCGCTGGGTGAAGCGAACGACTCGGCAAACCAGATAGTAGCAGCCCTGGAGCATGCCTGCGATCAGAGCATGCGGCAGAGAGGGACATGCCGGAGGAACCAACGTTCTGGTAGAGGGACGAGATAGCTGATCTCCGGTCCAAGTGCCTTCATGCTCGGAGGCAAATGACCCGGCCACGTGGCTCCTCACGACTGGTCGAGTGCAGCGAAGCCTACAAATCGGCTAGGAGGGCTCTAAAATTGGCCATAAGGGAGGCAAAAAGAGAGAATGCTTTCTGTGGCTCTGCGACGAGGCGGTAAACGACCCCTGGGGCGGTGTCAACAGATTGCTGGTCAAAGTGCTGAAAGCAGGCAGCACGGCTCCTTCGGACCCAGAAGCCCTGGATTCCATAGTGCAGGCGCTGTATCCGAGGGGAGCCCCGGTGGTGATGACGCAGCCCAGCGCGGAGCGCCACCGCAACGGCGACTGTGAGGTCTCCGAGGACGAGGTGATTTGGACGGGAATGAGCGTACGCCCCAAGAAGGCGCCTGGGCCGGACGCCGTACCTAAGAGGGCCCTGAAGCTGGCTATCGCGCTTCACCCAAAGGAGTTCGCGACCCTATACGCCAGATGCCTCCAGGAGGGTACATTTCCGGAGAGATGAAACAGGCAAAAGCTCTTGCTGCTGGCTAAGCCGGGCAAACCGCCTGGGGAGCCTTTGTCCTAAAGGCCCATCTGCCTTACCGACACCACTGGCAAGGTGTTCGAGAAGGTGATAGCAGCAAGGCTGAATGCCGCCATCGAGAGGGCAGGGGGCCTCTCTCCTAGCCAGTTTGGCTTTCGGAAGGGGAGGTGAACGCTCGACGCGATCGAGATGGTGATGGAGATAGCGGAAACGGCAATCGCGGGAACAATGTGGAAAGGCGGCTGCAAAAATTACTGCCTAGTGGTAACGCTGGACGTAAGGAACGCCTTTAACACCGCCGACTGGAACCGGACACTGGGGTCCCTTGCTGCCCTGAACATCCGAGGGTACGTACTGGATATGGCGAGGAGCTACTTCAGCGAGAGGGTGCTTATTGTGGACACGGACGTGGGTTCCAGAGTATACGAAGTCTCAGTCGGAGTCCCTCAGGGCTCCGTGTTGGGACCCCTGCTCTGGAATACCCTTTACGATGGGGTTCTACGACTCCCGATGCCCAGCGACACCACTATCGTAGGCTTCGCCAACGATGTAACGGTGGTGATAGTTGCTAAGGAGCGCACGGCTGCAGAAGAAAAGGCGAATGCTGCGATCAAGGCGATCGTAACGTGGCATTCGAGCGCTGGTCAGGAGCCAGCGGCGCACAAGACTAAGGCGGTCCTTATTTCGAGCCGGAAAAAAGTGGAAACGTCCGAGATCCAGGTTGGCGGAGCCGTGATCCAGTCGCAGAGGGCAGTAAAGTACCCTGGTGTTCTCCTAGACACTAGGCTATGCTTCAAGGAGCACCTTCAGTACGCCCAGAAGAAGGCCAGTGGAACAGCAGGAGGACTCGCCCGGATGCTGCTAAACACCCGAGGACCCAAGCAGAACACCAGAAGGCAGCTGGTAAGCATTGTCACCTCCCAACTGCTGTATGCGGCGCCGGAGTGGGCTGAGGTGGCAAACAAGAAGTCCTTCATGCGGGGAGTCGAGCCAACTTATAGACTCTGTGCCATCCGAGCGGCCAGCGCCTCTCGTACGATTTTGGACGACGCGGTGCTGGTGCTAGCCGGCTTAGTCCCACTGAAGGAGCTGGTCCGCGAGAAGGCGGACATTCGCGCTGCGTTGCACAGTCAGCAAGGACCCGACAGAGCCACGACTGCCGAGCTGAAAAGCGGGGCCAGGGCAAGGAGCTATGGCAACTGGCAGGCCAGGTGGGATGCCTCGCCTAAGGTACGATGGACGCATAGGCTCATCCCCAACATCGATGCCTAGATGGAGCGGAAGCATGGGGAGGTAGATTTTTACCTACCCCAGGTGCTGAGCGGGCATGGCTGCTACTGCAGCAACTTGAAAAGGATGGATGCCCGGAGTGTGGATCCGGGATAATCGAGGATGCGGGACACGTCTTCTTCGAATGTCGCCGATTCAACGAGGAGAGGGACGAGCTGGAGGCGGTAGCGGGGTCAGCGATCAGGGTCGACACGCTGGTGCCGTTGATGCTTTCGGACCAAAGGACGTGGGACGCGGTGGCGGAATTCTCGGCTAAGCTGATGAAATCCCTCAGGTCGCTGGAAAGAAGGAGGAATGAGCAGACTGACTGTGTGGCCTTCCATTGTGCGAAGCATTGCTTTGCGGCCGTACCGCAAAATGCGGGCTCTTTGCCTCGTTAATGTCTATTGTCTATGTTGTATAGTATTGTTAAGTGTAGTTAATAATAATAAACGAATATATATAAAAAAAAAACTCACACACACACAGAGAATTGTGTTCTTAGTTACAGTGACTAGTCGTATTTCTCCGACCTCCAGAATAAAATCAGTGCAGTCAGCCAGGAAAACCCAGTAAAGTGGCATTACGGCATAGTGAGACACCTTGTGTGAGGTACGCACCAGAATCGGTCCCGGCAGGCTACCCTGGCTCCCCGAATCTAGGTCACTTGGGATCGCCAAAGGAACTCAAGGGCGAGGGGGGGAGTCCCTTCCGTCCAACGAGCGCACCTATTTCCCGCGAAGCCGCACACTCTCTCTCATTGGAATAGTTTAGTTTCCACAAACCACATTCTTCCCCTGGCATTTTTTCTCCCGGCGAAACACAACAAGATCAGCTGATCACTTGGCGTCGGTAGCAGCACCACTAACAGATCTCCTAAAGCCAAGACAAAAGTTTGCGATGACACCCGAAGGGAGGCAGGCGTTTGAAGATTTGAAGACAAGGCTATGTTCAGCACCTGTTCTCCGTAGTCCAGATTTTGCTAAACCGTTTTTTGTTCAGTGTGACGCTAGCAAAACGGGAGTCGGAGAGGTTTTGGTTCAAAAAACTGCTGATGGTGATGAGTTCCCAATTGCGTTCGTCTCGAAAAAGTTAAATAAAGTCCAACGTAACTATTCAGTGACAGAGTAGGAATGTTTGGAGGCAATCGTGTGCATCAATCGGTTTAGGGCATATATAGAATGCCACGAATTCGCGATCATTACGGATAATGCGTATCATGCGATCTTTTCTCGTTCTCCCGGGATAATGCATCATCAGCCTGATGACGCAAACAGACCTGCATTCTCGTCTGGCTCGATGGACTCTGAAGCTGCAAGGATTTAATTTCAAGATCGAGCAACCGTTAAAACCGAACCAT